TCCCCCTCTGGTTGGAAAAATGAAGAAAACTTTAGATAATGGAGATACATCTGGATCTACTGCACCTTAGCAGCAAGCCACTCAGGTTTAGCGGCCTTAAATAAGGAGCAGTGGGAGTGCTCATAGAATGAACAACACAAAGAAAAACGAGCAACTGGATGGAAGGTGAGATGTCACAAGTAGAGACATCGGAATGGAAGAACAGGTGGGTACACCAGTAGGCTCTTTGGGACAAATGGCCCTAAGTAAGGAGTGGTGTAGCATATTTACCTCATGCAAGAACTGTTGAGCCACAGAAACAGCTGTTGCTAAGTAATACATGGACGCAACAGGAGAACAATGGGGTTATGAAATCCACTTCTAAGCAACGGCTTGGTAATCACATTTCCGCTTATTGGATTGTGCTATGCAACACGGTGATGTCGTCAACAATACAGACTGTTTTCTGTGGGGTCAGTGCAGAGTGCAGTGTAGTTAAGAGTCAGGAGAGTTTTCTAGTTGAGTTCCGAGGTTCCAGGGTGATTGAATAAGAAATGGCAAAAGACTTCATAGTGATTTGATGTGATAGTTTCTGCGTTGAGATCCATTGCCAGGAGACTACTAGTCTGGACAGAGAATCCCAGTGTGTGCGCAGCAGTGAACTGGAAATTGTGTAAATCAGTGATAGCGCTGTATTGAGTGTAATTAAGAGAAATTGTACCTGAAGTGCCAGTAAATCCAGTCATGTGAACTAGAACCCAAATTTTGTCACACGTACCCTCCTACACATGACAGTAACATACAGTAAATGTATTCTTATGCTATATTAGAATTGGAATATAACTGTTTACTTCAACAGATTGATCTTCTGCAGTTTGGCAAACATGTTTTATGTGTGGTAAATGTTTTTTTGAAACATCCTTCGGATCCATAGGTTTTAGTGTGAATAGTAATGGGAGTTGCATTCATTTCGGATTGTTTCATCATCATAATAATATCCAAATTGTGCCTTGATTATGTCTATTAAATAGGCCTACTTTGCTTGTAAATGCTATGACAGTGTTAGCTCCCGTATGATGAATCTGTTACAGTTGTTTGCTGTTGCGTCATCCTTTGTTATAAGTTCTATAATAGTAATTACAAATATAATGTAGATGTGCGTATATGTGTCAGAAGACTGTGGTAAATTTTTGTATTCATGACACCCTATTTAGAATGAAAATAAAAGTAAAAATTTCCCTCTCATGTCAGGTATCCATAGTAGGTGGTACAGTTCGTTGATACAGTGTATTTTCTCAGAGGAGTTCAGATGGTGGTCTTCTGGGTTGTGGCAATCTGAAGTCTCATAGGTGGATACTGGTGCTTCAAAGGAACATTCTGCCTCCAAAATGCTGATATCTGGTTATGAGAGTTCACAGTGTCACAACCCATAAGACCACAATTTTATCATGGAAGGCTGTGAAAACCTTAAATCTTATATTTAAAGTGAGACTTGGAGATATTGGCCACTTTTGGAGGCATAGTATTATGCATTCTTTGAACAAAGTGAGGGCATATAAGGGAGTAGTGTCCATCCATCCACCCATCCAAATATTTCATTTTCAGAAATATGGAACAGGTATCAGTGAAATATGTTCTAGGGAGTTTACATTAAAAGTCTTCAGGCAGAATTAATTTTGTTTTGGTCTAAACTTCTGCTTTAGTTGATGTTCATATCATCAGTTTTCTCATAAGTGGCTGATTAAGCAAACAGTTTGCATGTAGAGATCTTTATGATCTGATGCTGTTGTTTTGATTTTTTTTTTTATCTGATCAGCGTGTAACAAATATAAAATCCTCCAACTGTAGGTTTCTTCCCCCCCCCAAGGTGTCTAGTTGCCTGATAGTCACTCTTTTTTATATAACATATAAAGTGGTCTTCTTTTACCACCACCAATAACATTTTAATGCATAAAGTGGTGCCACCTTGGTAAATAATATTTTCTTCATATGCATATCAACTTTGGTTTATGTATTACAAATTGGATGAGTTGAGGTGGTTAGACCAGTGCAGGGTCCTGAAACCCGTCATGGCATGCCCTATATCCAACTCTGCAGTTGTCCTACTTAATGCATGAATGTTTCCATACACACAGTGAATTGATTTCAACAGCAATGGTCAGGAGATAAAAATAATAGATTCCAAATATTTTCTCCAAAAAGGAAATGTAGTATCACACAAATGCAAGGTAAGATAAAAATCAGAGCACCTGATAGAGTCTTCTTCCTCTGACATTTTCGTTTTTATGTTGTGTAGCAGCTAAGCCCCTCGATTTGCCTCTTGGCTTACCCACTACTACTCGGTATACTTCCATATTGTTCATTCCTTCTGTGTGAAATCTTTCTAGTCTCTGGTTTCCATCTTGTTATAGTTCTCTTCTTGTGTATTTCCTTTTAACTTCATGTGCAAAACCTTCTTTGGTATTCTCTTCATTTATTCTTAAAGTTCACCCATACCATCTTATTGTTAATAAACTTTCAATATATTTATGTTTAATTCTCTGTAATATTTTGTTTTGTATTCTGATTTTTCCTTCCACGATTCTTTTAAAAATAACATGTCAGCATCTCAGCTACTATGAATCTACAAACATTGCCTTGTGAGTTATCTGTTTTTCTGCTCCATATGTTAATATAGGCATGTAGTAACTTTTGAATAAACTTATTTTTTACCATCTCCGAAATAAGTTCCTAGTAAATTGGTGAAAATTTCCTGCACTTTTTATTCTTTCTGAAATTCCTTTTTTGTACTTTTTCATGCTGTCTTATCTACTATTTGAAAATTTCCAGTTTCTGTATTTAAGAATATATATTTTTCATCTTTTTACTGCCTCCTATCCTCCAGTTAATTTTCACAACCATATAGAGTGAAACCTTGCTTTTACATTTTTTTAAGGTACCACCTAACAAATATAAAGTTGAGGAAAACATAAAATCAGGAAATAACAAATGTTACAATGTAAAGAAATTATGGTCTTATTTATAATATAACTTCGGAAAATCATTTAAAAAAATATTGGAACACTCAGTGTAAATGTTAATGGAAATATAGTATGAAAATGTGTAGTTTCTGGCTGCTTTCAGCCCTGTCAGTGCATCCAAGAGTGTTGCTTTATGTTCTGCATCTTCCTCTTCTGGTTCTTCTTTTGGCCTAATCAAGTGTTGATCAAACACCTGGTTGACCCTCCAGACTCCACAGACCTCAGGAGCACTGTCACATGTTGGGTAGTCATCAGACTGCACTGCAAGAGGTTTTAAACTGCCCCAATCATCCTCTTCATCTACAGCGAGTTTCATCATTGCTGCTGACATGATCAATCAAGAACCCTCACTTCACAAAGCAGTTCTTTAATGTAATAGGTGTTATCAGTCTCTGAAGTTCTGCTATTAAGTGCATTGGACACATCCAGCTTTGTCTGTGCAGCAGCATGGAGCAGTCCCCCATATACCCCATGCTACGCTACTTGTGAATAATATGTCAATTCTTCTTCATTAAAATCTGAACTTGTTGTCATTCTGCTATTTGTGTGTTGTACATCCACTGTTATGTTGTCTAGGTGCTTCAAGGCTATACTGGTACTCCATTTCATTTTTCTTCCTCACGACTCCACCAAATTTTGTTTCGCATCCAATATGTCAGTCCTTCTCTTTTCCATGCTTTCGTTTATTTCAAATATCCACCTTTGTTCATATAATGAAAATATATTTACAGTTCCATTTTTCAGACCTTCCATTTTGCTAGGCGACGTACACACCATCATCCATATTCCCCCATAGCTTGGTTGACTATTGAAAACAGTTAAAAAACCCACCAGTAGGTTGCTAGGTCTGTTATAGCTTTTCTGTATTGCTGTTAGCCATTCTTTTTCAAGGTAGACCTCAGCTACCTTGAAGCTGCCAAGGACTATGTTCCTCCTGTATTTGGCCCCTCCCCCTATTTGCTTCTTGTTCCCCTCGTATGGTGTTGACATGGGGGTTGATTTCAGGTGGGCATTTGGTAGACTAAAACATGTAAGTAATGTTGGTGGCGTTTATTTATTCCCAACAATATTCTGTACAAATTTTCGAAGACCATTTACTAGTCATACTTACATAACTATATTTTATTTTCTTGAATAAATTGTGTAGTTTTGCAGAGTTTATTACAAGAGTCATTCCAGTGTGTACACAAAGGTTTTAGAGCTCATAGGAAACAGCTTCATAATTGTTTGATACTACTTATGGTCAGCATATATTGGCAGTTAGAGTTTTGTTTGAGAAAATAGAATAATGATGAGGTTCATGATCTGTAGTCTTCACCGTAATTGTGAGGTGAATCAAAGTGAGCTGAGTGGGGTAGGAATTATAGCATACATGGCAAGAAATGTAAACCAATTTTAAATGAAAAACCAGAAGGGGGGAGACCAGTTGAGAGTCCTAGGTTCAAGTGTAAGTTTAACAACCTCTCAACAAGAACGGTGCTCTTTGGAGGTAGTTCCTGATTCTCCAGGCCTTTCAGAGATATTAAATGCTTCTGGTACATAGTGTTATTCAGTTTTGTTATCCATGAATTCCAGGTGCTCTGATTTTTTTCAACTTTTTGAATAATTTTTAAAATTGTGAAAGGAGTCTTCTTCAGAACTGCTAATTTTTAATTTATTTCTTATGAATTTTGTGGTTCTGATGAATGCTGTTTATGCAAGTTTTAACATTGCATCAGTTACAGGTCAGGCCTGTACAGAATTGGGTAGTACATGTCCATACATCTCATTTGGAAAGAACTTGACAGGAGTCACTCTACTAACCTTCATGACCAAACCCTTACTTCAGGCATGATGGGCTAGCAGATACAGAATCCTACCATATAAAACCTTGTTGACAGCATGATCAACTAGCAAACACATTGTTACCTCATGAACAGCATCCCATTCAGGGCATGATGGGCTAGCAGACACATTCTCACGGGCACCCGTTTGTGTTTCCCCGGGTCTTGATGTTCACAGTGCCTTGCCGATATACCCACCCTATTGTGATCAGCCCCCTGCCCCCTGGTGGGACACTGATGCAGATAGATCACTTCTGGTGGGTACCTACAAACACGGTTATGAATGCTACCCTGCTATGAGAAACGACCCGGCACTTGGTTTCCTCGCACGCTGTGGCCCTGATGTTGGTTCTGCTATGCTGATGCTTGCCAATAACACAGTGACAGTGTAAGTATGGCATGCATGTTATTTAGGTTATGTTGCTACGCTGCTGCAGGCCGGCTTTATGTGTGTTGCTGTTTGCAGTTTGTGTGCCTGCATCACAGATTGCTTTTCCAACAGCAACCTGTTTCCTTCAAGCACATTAATTTTGTAAACTGCTAGAGTCCTAAAGGGCTTCTGTTGGAGTGAAATTCACAGCTGAAACCTGTGGAGAGCTGGCTTGAATCTGGTTCAAAATATTTCACGTGCTGTTGATAAAATGAAGGGAATTGTTTCCATCTCGTGCCTTCAGGCCAAACTATATTCTTCAGTAAACACTGAACAGTTAGCTTCATTTCATTTACTTGTATTTTAGAGGCATCTTGTTTGAAACCTTCCTGATGATTTAGTTTTCGACAGCTGCTCTAAGCAAATGCAAAGCTAGCTTTTAGCATTAAACCTTAAGCTTCTTTACTGCCCCTCACCCAAAATTACCATTATTCTTAACATTCCTTCACACATCATCTGTGCTGACAAGAGGCTTTTATGGTTTTCCCCCAGTCCCTGGAAAATCCTGAGTTAGCACAACTTTCGTATAATTTCCAGTCTAATTCAGTAATCATGTTTTCCATTCATTCTCTATGGTCACAGTAGTTGATTGGGTAGGTTGTCATTAAAGTCCTGATGAAACAGAATGCAGGAAAAAGAACCAGTCTGTAAGACTGACACACGAGACATTGATTGAAGTCCATTATGCACTTCTGGCACTATTGATGGACTCTTTGATAATGTATCATAGTTTATTTAATGAAAATAAAGTAGTTCAGTTAGTGAAGTAAGAAATTATAGGTTGGAGACAGGGAATTGGTTTGCAATAGAAGCAGGGAATAATTTTTTCTACTGCCATATAAGAGGATAAGCTATGGGTTGGATGATTGAGGAATCAGGGTTTGATTACAGACAGGGGCAAGACATTTTTCTCTTCTCCATAACATCTGGACCAACTCTGAGGCCCACCTAGCCTCCTCTGCAATGGGTGTTGGTCACTCAGAGTAAAGGAGTTTTAGGGGCCAGTGTGTGATGCTGATTGCCCACTTCCATCTAGTGAGTCCCAAGGCTGATTCACATAGCTTTTTCTCCACGCTGTAAATTGTAATCATAATGTGCGTAGGCACAGGAGTACATGGTGGGTTCATGTATATGTACATGTGCACATACACACCCACCCCACGCCACCCTCTCTCTCTCCATGTTGCTGTAAGTAGGTTTCATTATGTGAAGAAAAGGGGAGACAATCGCGTAACATGATTTGGGAAGGTGTGGTGCTGGTGTCACAACTTGGAGGTGCTGAGGGAAAACAGAAAAGTTTAGTTGGGGTTGCTAATACCTTTTTGTGTGGAAATTGTGTCATGGCTTGTTCATGAAGTATTTACACAGCATTTACTTGCAGCTTGAAAATTTCAGCAGTGCTTTTATAAACTAGTGGAGAGCACAATCTTCCATAAATATACATATACATTACTGTATGCACCATTATCCTCAGAATTCAGAAACACTGCCATTTTGCCCATGGAATGTGTTATGGGTTTTGCTTCATTCTCTGAATAAACAGTAATTATTTCCCAAAACAGCATTAATTGGTTGGTCTTTGTAATGGAAATGCAGTATATTTTCTATGAGTGGGCACTAAATATTTAAATGTCTGGATGAATTAGAGGCTTCAAAAGGTTAATGTGAACAATCTCTCCATACAGAAGCCCCACAGATGCAGACGTAGTGTGATACAGGCTTCATGTATACAAACTTGGCATACATGTGGGTGAATGAGTGCTGCCACCTGCCTCATCCCTCTTTTGTTTGAGGTAACTGTAGTACAGCACGGGTCTGGAATTTGTTAGTCTGTGTTTCCCACGTCTGCTTTTGTCCTCCCCTCATTTTCTATGTTTTTCATGAGGTGCCGTTCACTTGATGGACATCTAACCATGTAAGTTTACTTGAAATTTGAAAACTTGATTTTCTGAGCAAAGAAGTATGTAATTGTTTTAAGTTGCTGAAAATAAGGTACATAATTTTCATATGCCCTTTTCTTCACCCAATTTACAACAGCAATGAGGAAGACGTTGGTAAAATTTCTGAAGATGAGGAAACCCTTGAAGCTGAAAATTCTTTTGGGGTGAAGGAGCCAATAAGGGAGGCAGTTTCTTCAGACATTCTTGCAGAAGCCACCTCAGTCCCAACCCCAGAGAAGCCAGAATCTGCTTCATCATCAGCTGAACATCAAATGTTTGCTGCCAAAGATGAAGAGAAGCTGTCTGTAGAAGATGACTTGAAGAAAGCTCATTGGCCATCAATGGTGGACATGAATACAAGACTGAGGAGAGTCATTACATCATACCAACGAAACTTCAAGAAAGAAGAAATGAGACTGGCACAAAAGGCTAAGGTATGGCTAGTTCAAAATGTATAATTCCATGTGCATGCCATGTAACTTCCCTTCAGAATATTTTATCTATCTCTGTCGAAGCTGCTGTCAGTGATTTTAATAGTTCAAATTACAAGTCTTTTAATTTGATGGAAGATATATATGGTTCCTTTCAATCACATATCTTACACACAGTGTGACCTGCCACAAACTATATTCAAGTACTCATTGACATTGTTTGACAGTATAAGTATGTACCATTGGTTTCCAAACTTCATTATTTTAGAGGCACCTTAAATTAAGAAAGACATTTCTTTAACCACATAAAGTTCTTTCTAAAATGTAATGTAGGTTGTGGAAGGAATAGAAAAAAAGATAAGATTCAAAGATTCATGTATGCTTTTGGCAACAAACACCAAAAACCTGTATAATTTCAAGGTTCACCATAGTAAATCTTTTGTGAAATAGAAATCTTTGATCTTTGTACCTAGTTTATGTTTGCCTTAATAGCAATTTAGCCTGATGGTAAGACAGAATAACAGGACCTTTCTGTTAGTTATTCATAACCTTAGTTCTAAATGAGTGTGGGTGATAAGCCACCTCTAAGTTCAAAGTACTTGTGAAGTAGAATGGGTGTACTCTGTAGTACAATATGCGCCAAAATATTCAGTACTGAAACTCATGTATCTTGAACGTGCATGTATGTTTGTCAACGGGGCATAACTCCAGTTTCATGTGTTCCCAGTAGTGAAAAGGAAGTTGGGTTGTGCAGTTGTTGGAAATGGGTCTCTCGACAGAGTAAAAAGTATTCATAGTTGAGTATTATTTCCGCTCATACAGAAGTGGTCGCCAGACAACTCGCTTCCTTGGTTTTGAGCGGAAAGATGTTATTATCCAGAAACCGCTACATAGTACATGTGTGACGATATCTTGTGACATCTCAGCATGTGGTATATTAGGCCCCTGGGACATGGTGATCGAACCATTTCTTCAGGATTTGAGAAGGTTCTGTCGTGCACAGGGTCTTCACATGAATAAACAGTGGTATCAACAGGATGTATTTTCATTTGAGTACTGTATTTTTGGCGCATACTGTACTTGACACAGTAGCAAAGAGAAATAGCTCCAGTCCTCACCATTCAGTTCATAACCTGTCACTTTATTCAGGTGTTGCAGCGAGTCTGGGAAGTACTGAACAGGAGGAGGCAAGTGTGTTATGAATCTCAACTCCATATTGCCAGTCTGGAGACAGGGACTAGCTCTATTGATTGGGCCAAACTGAGTAGGTTTTACCCAAAGACGGAGACAGAATATAGTCTCTAAAACATTGTGTTTTGAAAAGTAAACAGGATGGTGTTTAGATAAAGACAAGATGATGGATAGTGTCCAGAAATATAATATTTGTACTAATGCACCATTGTCATAAACTTTTAGATCTTACAGTCTCATTAATCCATACAATGCACTCAAGCAGGCGTGCGCCCACACACACACACACACACATACACAAAGTCCTTTGTTTGTTATTATATTGTAACTAGTTGTTGCTATGTAGTGGCTGCTAACAATGGAGATTCCTTATGACCAACCATGAACTGACACTGCTCACTTACAGTACATGACTTGCTGACTGACTGACTGACTGACTGACTGACTGACTGACTGACTGACTGACTGTTGCTACTCCTGGTCCTCCTTTATATCCTTGCCGCAGACTGCGTAGAAAACACTACACCCTCCTCTGTCTTTGTGTCAGTATCTGTTGGTGTGGAAACGTGTTTGCCTTGCCACTGCCTAGGAGTGACCACCTCTACTTTTATCCGCTATTCAGGTTTTTGGCTAGCATGTCACGGTATTGTAAAGCCTCAATCCCCCCCCCCCCTTTTTTTACATTCAACATTTTGTTAGTTGACCATTTTTATTTTTATATTCATCAGGAAGAAAAACTTTTGCAGATTTTGTTGTATTGAGTACTATGCATAATCATGTTCTGGTAGGTTGGTTTCCAGTGGCTGCATTTGGGATCATTTAGCCTATTTTGCTTCTCGCTTCCCAATAGAGAGCACTCAAGTTCTTGCTTTGTTGCATCTTGAAGAAGTTTGCACTTTTCTTTTGGGAAGCTTTGCCAGGTTTGTTGCTCATTTTGCACTATCCAGGGGACACGTATGACTTAAAGAATGTCACGGACGCGAGCAACTGAAGTGTGAATTTTGCTCATTTATCTAATATATTTTGTTTTACCAAATTGTAATTAAAATCCAGCCAGAAGTAAGCTTAATAAAGTGGGAAGAACACTTTGAGAATTCAGTATACTACATTATGGAGTATGCCCTTTCCAGTATCGTTTATAAAGTTGTCCCTTTGGTTAATTAAACACCACGCCATTAAGACATAAGGGGGAGTGGAGGTATAGGTTCACCATTCTTGACCTCAGCACTAGATGTACGTGAGTTGTCAGCTTCATGTCCCTGCTGCTTTACCCACAGGGAAAGATCCCCCAGTACCTATTTCATAGGAGGCTGGGTGGGCTGGATGCTATGGATTAGTGTGGAATAAGGAAAAATCATCTTCCTCGTGCCAGGGATTGAGCTCTCTCCATTCGGTCCATAATTTTCCATACACTGACTAAGCTATCCCGCTCCATTTTTGTATTAAAAGTTGCTGCCGCTGTGCTTAGCTAATTAAGCACTGTTCCATGAAGATGTATGGGTGATTGGATCCACATATTCTTGTCCTTTGCATTAGTTGGAGGTGAAATGTCCCATATGGAGGTCTTAGAAGAAGAGCCTAAGGAAAAAATCTAAATAGAAATAAAAAGTCTAGAAATACAGAAGTTTACATTTATGTTTGAACTTGCATTTTTGTTATAACATTTCTGAAACCTGGTTTGTAAATAACGTTTTTGTGCTGAAGTAAGAATGGGTTTTGAATGATGGCCAGAAGAATGCAAAAACCCATAGCAGCTTGAGTGTCTCTGTTTTTGGTTTCCATACCGTAAAATTTTATCGCTTTGGAAATTGTTACACTGATGTAACTCTTCAGCAAATCCATCTTTTCAACAAATGTTTTGACAAGTACTTTGTGGTAGAACAGTCATAATGCCTACAATTTCACATACAAGTTTCACTGTACTGTGAGGACTAGTCTGGTCATGAAATTTTTTTTTTAACCACTGTAATTTTCATGTTTTCAAACAAGGTTATGAGCATTATCATTATTTTGTTGACTGTGATCATTTACAATTTTATCTCCGAGAGTCTTGTCATAGATGTTATTGTCCCTGAGTGAGAATCTGTTGAACTCACAATCAGTGCCAGTTATACATGTCACACAGAGCAGCTGATATTCTTGTTGATGCCATAGCTTAAACTTGGTAAAAGGTGGGGGGGGGGTTGCATTTACATAGGAAAGGCATTTGTGTATAAATTTTATTCTTTCCTATCCTACAAGGGTTAGGTTTTCTTTCATATATAATCCTTGTCAAGGTAGTGTCAAGTTCTCAGGGTACATGGGAATACCTTCTAATAACCTTCATCTAAAGCTTCACAGTGTAAACTAAGCATCCCATAAGGAAACACAGCATGGAATCCATCCTTAGGTGCAAATTTTCAAAACACTTTGTGTTTGCATGCATGTGAGTACGCACACAGAAATTTAAAAGTAATGACTAGCCATTCACACATAAAAATTCTCTAGGTTTCTCTTTGAACTAACTAACTCAATGAAGCACGGTTCTTCTTTGAAAGCTAATAGTAGCTCATGTGATCAAGAAGTTTCCTGCCCTTTCTGGAACCCAGAAGTTTAGTAGGTACTATCAGAAAGTTCCCAGAATGTTATTTTTATATCTGCCTCGGTGAAAGAAGATGAGGATAGGCTAAGGTCACACTTCTGCAAGCCTGATGCATTGGTCTGGGATGTGACACCACGCTGTGAACACACATTGTTTTTACACGAGTGCATTTTTGACTTTGTGTTTTGTCTGCAATGGATGGCAAAATCGAGCAACGTGGCTAGAAGTTTTGTGTTAAGCTCAGTAAATCTACTACTGAAGCCCTTGAAATATTTCTTGAGACTTTTGGAGAACATTCTTTAAGCCGGACAGCGGTGTTCAAATGGCATTCACGTTTCAAGATCAGTCAAGTGTTAGTTGAAGACGACGAACCTTCAGGGTGACCAAGCAGTTGAAGATGATGAACGTTCAGGGAGACCAGGCACTAGAAAAACAACAGAAAATTCTTGAAAAAAATGAGAACTCATTCATGAAGACCGTCACCGAATAATCCATTGGCTCGCAGACACCATTGGAATCTGTTATGGAGTTTGCCAGGAGATCTTAACAGAAAATTTGCACATGTGCCGCATTGTTGCGAAGTTTGTTCCTTCATCAGGACAACACACCCACCCATGTGTCCCTGAAAATCACAGAGTTTATGAGTAACAACAACAACAGTTATCATTCCTTGTCCTCCCTACTCACTGGACATAGCCCCCTGTGATTTCACTTTGTTTCCCAAATTGAAAATGAAACTGAAGGGACGTTTTGAAACAGTGTTTGACATTCAAAGGAAATCACAAACAGTACTCAAGAAAATTAAGGAAAATGACTTCCACCATGCTTTTGAAGCATGGAAAAAATGATACTGTATACTTTCCCAAGGAGACTATTTTGAAGGAGATGGCAGCCAAAATTGAGTAAATTATGCCGGCTGTTCTTTTTTGACCTAGTCTGGGAACTTTCGGATATCATCTTGTATTAGAGTGTTCACAAAAGCCTGCCACTGGCCCTTATCTAGGATCACATGAATTCGGTACACACCTTCATATCCTGTTAAGTTAAATTTTAATATCCTCCCACCAACTCTAGGTATTCCAAGTGGTGCCATTCTCTCAAGTGTTTCTTGTAATATTTAATAAGCATTTTATATCTCTTCCGGTTTAAAAAGTTAATATTTTAAGAATACAGTTCTAAGAAACTAGGTGAAAGTTGTGGTTGTGCTAGGTGCATTGTGTGCTTGGGTATT